CAGTTTCTCAGAGGTTTGGTCATAGATTGTTTAGATATTTATCTGTTTCTAGAACTGATACATTAGATTGTTTGATGGCCAATGGTAGCTGGAATTTTAATCTCTTTCAAGATCAAGCGTTACAGCAGTTTAGAGAGTTTCTGGTGTTGGTTCCTGTCCACAATTCTGCAGATAAAATTTTGTGGGACGCTGGTAAGTTCTCCTTCAAAGAAGCTTGGAATACTTGTAGAGTTCATGCCGACGAAGTTAACTGGTTTAAGTTCTGTTGGGGCAAATCAAGGCCTCGTTGGTCTGTGACTGCTGTGTTTGTGATGCTGAATAGAATTCCCTCTATGGTGAATCTCCAAAGAAGGAAGTTGTGTTTGGTTTCTAGATGCTCTTTTTGTCAAAGAGCTATTGACTCTACTGTCCACATTTTCATTGAATGTAATTTTTCTCAAAATTTGTGGAGATGGCTAGGTGTTGTGCTGCATTGGAACCTGACTCAGTTTGATGGTGTGCAGTCTATGGTAGATTTGTTTAACTGGTTTCAAAATTTGTCTAATGCAAGATAACATAGAACTTTGTTTGCTGCTGTGTTATGGGGGATTTGGCACGAAAGGAATGCTAGAATCTATGGTTCTGCCACTGATTCTGAAGATGTAGCAAGGAATTTACTGCTGGAAGTGTTGGATATTCATAATATCCCTCTTTCAGATCTTGCTGATTAAGTGCTTGGGGTGATTTTCTTTTGTTTCTGCTGAGGTAGTGGTTTTCCATTTTACCTTCAGTTTTTTCTTTCTGTTTGTTGATCTTGGAGGTTTTGTCTTCAAGTTCTCTTAGGGGTTTTTCTATTCTGAGGGTATGCCCGCTGTGACTTTGTACATATTTTCTTTTTGTTTTTATACAACCACAATTATGAAAAGAAAAAAAAAAATTATCATTTTTCTGATCAAGCATCAAACTTATCCATGTGTCACTGGCTTTGTGACATCCATACATGGTATTGACCAATGAACATACGAAACATTTCACTAAAAGAAGATCCTTAAGTTCTTATATTATAACCACATGTAGGAAATTCAATTGATACCCAGAAGAAAGGCACGGTTCCTCTTAAAGGTGAAACATTCTCATCATGGAAATTAGGGCACCACCAACTACAACAAACAATATTAGGAAGCCCAAATACAGGTCCATATGGAAAATCTGAACATTACAAGGGGTGAGGAAGCTGGCATAAACTAATCAACGTCATGAAATCATTAATAACCGATAGAAACAAAAACATATTTGAATTAGCCTCAAATTTTGAGAAGGAAAAGGTGTGTTATTACGCATCTTGTGCACAAACACTTGGGCTTTTTTAAAAGCATATTGGTTCGCAGTTTCGTTGACCATCAGTGCTTAACAATTAGAATCTATAACCTATTAGCAAGGAAACTTGCTAATATAGTAATAAGTGATGGTAGTAGAGAAGTGATTTAAAGCTCTGAGGACCATTTAAAATGTGAAGACCTAAAACATTGTAATTTCTCTTCCAATAATTAGGAGGTGGTAATTGATCAAATCACTTTAATTATGAAGATTTTTAAACCTTTTGGATGATAGGATATTTGATTCCTTAAAGTTCTCATCTTAACAGACCATTGGAAGGGGAAGGGGTCGGGGGCTGGGGAGTCACTTTCTGAAAAATGGTGTTGAACAACAATTATTCTACAAGAATAAATATAATACTCAAATTATCATGCTGAAGAAGGCATTAATGAATATTTTCACCTCCACGATTGACATTTATATCAACTCCAAGATAATTAACTACTTGTTACATGGCACGAAAATTCAGCAAACCAAAGTCTGTGCAAACCACTAGATGAGACTGCCTATGTAAAATCACTATTTTTTAAAATATATATAATAAAGAAAATAAGGAAAATTAGATTATAAGCATAATATATTCTGTGGGATCATAGTTCTTATTTAAAGAATGATATTCAAATCCTTTCCATAGTGGTAATCTGACCTAATTCATACCTTTTAGGTATAGGGTCCAAAGTTGACTAAAATAAAATTACAGAAGCTACCAATTTCTGCAACTATATGATGCTGAATTGCAGCCATATTTCTTAAACAATGGCTGCCATCAAGTGACTAATATGATCCTTATAAATAAAAACCCTAGTCAATAATTCAAAACACCTACTCTCAGTAAAATATTACAGGAGAGATTAAGAGAGAGTAAAGGCTGCAGAAAGAAGAAGAATAAGAAGAGAAAGGAGAAAAGGGAGCAGTCTGGCTCTAAAAGACTGGCAATGGAGGAGGAAGGCAGCGGCGAACAGTGGAGAATGAAGATTAGGATTTGGGACAAAGGATGGGTATGGAGATTTACTTTGCCGTGGAGAGAGAGGGGGGAAGAGAGAGAGAAAGAGTGACGATCTGCTAGAGAGGAGAAAATCTGAACTTTTGGTTTAACTCAAAGTTCAACCCATAAGAAGATGGGTAATGCCCATGTTTTTTTTTTTTTTTTTTTTTTTTTTTTTTTTTTTTTTTTTTTTATGTTAGGCAGGTATCTATGCCTCATTGGGCCACATCAGCTAGGAGGACAATGTTTGTTCTCATAGGCCCAAGCATTGTCCAAATCTTAAGACCTTTCACTAGCTTTCTACTTTTTACATAATGTGTATCATGCTGGCAACATACTTATAATTCCATAAATCAGTAGCTGAATATATAAATTTGAATATGTGAATGTCTAAAACATATAATCTCTCTCTCTCTCTCTCTCTCTCTCTCTCTCTCTCTCTCTCTCTCTCTCTCTCTCTCTATATATATATATATATATATATAGAGAGAGAGAGAGAGAGAGAAAAAAGAAGAAATTAATTATGTCTAAGTTTATCAGATACTCAACTTTATGTATTGGTTTCAAATGGCATGTTCAACTAAAATCTGAAATTTTATAAAGCCATGTGAATCCATCTTCTATCCATTAATTAAGTAGAGTTCCTAAAATTCCTTTCCACATATGAGAACCTTTAGTATTCCTTTGAATTAGAAGTTGTCATATAAAAATAAATAAACATCAAATACATATGAGCACACATATAAACGTATATATGCAAAGAATACATAGAATCAGCGACAAACATAACATTTATATATATATATATATGAACTCTTAGAAAGGAAAACATAATGTGAAAGATATACAAACTGATTTTTGAATTTAAATCCTATATGGGCATGAAGAATTCTCACCAAACATAGCATTAAACATTTATTTATCTAGTCTGTAATAGTCTTAATTTAAGGTACTGGTTATATAAGAATAATAGTCTAATACAATATTGTGTGATTATCGAAGGGGAAGGATAGAAGGGAAAGAGAGGAAAACCCACTTTTGCCAGGTTCCTAGTTGTTGATCACACATTTGAGGTTGGAAATTGCTACCTTTTATATACTTGATTATGTTAAATGTGGGAAAATATGTTGCTTTTAAAAATGATTTCTGATGTGCTTTATTACTCCATTTATGTGTTATTGAGAGCTCTCTAAAACCGTTATAACAGATTTGATCTTGAGATTTTAAGGATTCCAAGTGTTATGATAAAAAAAGAAAATTGTTAAGAGACATGTTGATTTCCGGTTGGGAAAAAGGTTGTTGGCCTTGATAGGCGGAAGCCTAGTGTGACTGAATGTCGAATGGGTGGGATGCCCACCAACTCGAGAGGGGCACTATAGGGTCCTTGAGAAGCGCGTAGTATTTGCAACGATCCTGTGAAACACTCAAAATGCGTTGCCCAGTTAGTGATACATGATGTCTTGTTTTTTTGATTATTTTCTATGACACAGACCTGAAAGTTGTGATTGTTTGACTACTTATTGTCTCATGAAAGCTTGTTGATATCTTGATAAACTTGGCACGATGACTGTATCGATATTTGACTTACTAAACTAATTGATTCTTTTTCATTAAAGATTTTTAAAAATATAGAGCCATGATTTTATTTGGTCACATGTTGATGTATCTTTTTTATAGAATGGTAGCACTCTTCCTACTGGCTGTCATGCTCATTCTTTTATAGCATTTCCATATTATGGTGCTGAAGGAAACCAAAGAAAGGAAGGCTATTAGTGTGCGCAACAGTTACGAGATTAATTGCTTTAGGACTTGCATTGCAAATATCAATTACGCTATTGCAATTAATAAAGTATTGATTCTAGACTTTTTGAAGCAAAGTTGCTGAGTAGTTTGATTTCTATAAGTTTTTGACTATTTTAGTTTTGTTTAAATATTTGGAATTGTGGAGTTGTTTTTTAAGTCATGGTTGATAATTGACTTATGTTAAATTTTGTGGCATTAACATACATAATTACAATCACACTCCATGCTTCAGATTTTGGATCTTGAGATTGACTCAGATTTTAGAGCTTTTCATGTTTGGGGGTGTGACAGAATATCATTGTCATAAAAAGTAACAAACACAAAAAACAAAAGAGCTCCACTTCATGCACGAGCATAAAAGGAGTGTCCAATACATATTGCCTTGTCAACAATGGCTTTGTGTTCTCATAAAGCAGGCGAGATAGAAAATGCAGATTTCTGCAATTATCTAAGCACAATCCTATACCATCGCTTGTTCTTAGGAAACTTCATACATTCTTGTGCCGTCAAACACAGTTCCAATTGGGGTTTCCAATTTTATTCCTAATGATAATCAAAGTACCTTCATTAGTTGCCCTGGGTGGACAATAAAAACTAGGATTTTAATATACCATTTCTCAATATCAACAAAGTGCCAATACACTTTCACCACAAACACAACAGTTCACAAGATTTCTGATACCATTTCAGAAACCAATTTTTCTCTGCACCACAAACACAATATTTCCACAAGATTTCTGATAACATTTCAGAAGCCAAATTTTCACAAACAATAAACAGAGCATAAAAGCAACTAAATTTTAATCAAATCACAGCACATTCGTCTCTAATTGATAAAAGAAAGAATCTTTCACACCTGAATTGGCTTTGTACCGTACTTGAACATTACACCTTGGAACTGCTTCTTGCGATTGATTGGACCAACACTGTCCCCACCGGCGGTGGAGCTGTTGGTCATTTTGACGCCTCCGGACTTGTCGGAACGGCCACGAACAATTCCAGATAACCAAGAAGTGGTTGAAGACGATGTAGATGAGAGAGAAGACGATGATGAAGATGATGATAGATTCATATCAGAAGCTCTCGTTTAACACCATCCACATCAAAACCACATAATGATTTTCAAATAATGAATCTCACAAATTCCATTACATATACATAGATATACATTTATACATATGCCTATTATTCAAATAAATTTTAGGGTTCGTCAGAGATCAAGCCTTTGTAGAGTCGAGAGGTTGTGAACTGTTAACATTATGAACTGTGTCTCGACGGATTCACGAAGGTTGGTCCCACATATAAATGTAGCATATGTATATAGTATATACCACAATTAAAAATTAAAAGAAAATGATATACTTTAAATCAGCTTATTAAGCTTTGTGCGTTTTAAAAGCAATTTTTTAATATGAAAAATATCTTAATTTATGAAACAGAAAAAAAAAAAAAATAGCAAAACTTACTATAGAATCCAAACTCCAGTATATTTGTAGAGAGAGAAACTTGGCTTAGAAGAGCTACCTCATAATTATCTAAGCATACAAAATTATAAAAAATAATAATAAATAAATAAAGGTCAAAAGGAGATTTGGTATAGTTACTAACAAAAGAAGATATTATTCTCTATTGTAAGAATTAAGGAAGATTTCAAAAAAATAAATTAAAAGATTTGGTGTAGTTGCCAACAATAGAAGATATTATTCTCCATTGCAAGATTTAAGGAGGATTCTGCTCTATCAAATCTCATATTCCCCCTTTAATATTATTTCATGCATGCTATTTTTTTTTTATTTTTTTTTTTGACTTACTATATAAAGGGAAGAGAGGTAAGTCCATCAATATAATTTCAGTTTCTCTCTTGTGAGTGTATTCTTTGTGAATTTCAGGATTTAACTATGTTCTTTATCGTTTTCGTTACGTTTGTTGGTATCAGAGCCAGGTTCCGAATCCAAGATTTGCCTTTGTTTCGATGGCCGGTTCACGAGATGGAAGCAACCCCTCCAGCGATGGTGATCGTGATGGAGTAGCTCTTTTGTGGGCTAAGTTTACTAAGTTCTAAACTAATATTAATCAAACCTTACTTGATATGCATGAAACTATGCGTCAAGTATTGGCGAGATTGACAATGGTATAACTTAACCGCGAGAACAACAAGCTGCCCAACGACATGATCATGGACGTTCTGCTGGTAATCATAACCCAAACCTACCGAATAGGCAACCAGCCTATGAGAAAAATGTCAGTTTTGGTAAGAACCGAGCTGTATAGGTGTTTGGAGATAATTAAGGTCGATAGGGAAATTGATTGTTCCAGGGATGTTCGTATGAAGATTGACCTACCCACCTTTCAAGGTCATGTTTGTATTAAAGAATTCGTGGACTGGATTAGTGAAGTTGAATGTTTCTTTGACTATATGAAAATCCAGGAGAAGAAGCAAGTCAAACTCATGACCTATAAGTTGAAAGGTGGCGCATCAGCGTGGTGGGATCAAATGCAAACTACCCACGCACGTGAGGGTAAAGATCCGACACTGACGAGGCCGCTTGTATACGCTTAAAATAATGTAGTGAATGTGCGGTTCAAGAAAAGCCTTTTAGGTCAAGTTTAAATTTATAAAAACCACTACCACCACTATTATTAACGTAGCAAGAGTGAGTAGGGATTGTCCCAAGGGATTATATGTATTGAAATTTAACTTCGACTCTAGTGTACCAATTGATTGCAGTGAGAGAGATTGGTTAATTAAACTAAGATACAAATAAATTAAAATACGATTAAAATAAACTAAGTTGAGATAGGAATTTAAGAGATGAGAAGTGAGGTCTTGGGGTGCATTGGAATCGCCACCAAGCTCATTCACTAAACCACACACTTTCAACTAATTGGGGAAAACATTTTTGTGAATAAAATGTGACTACCAATTGCAATATTAAGTATAGACCATCAAATTCAATAATGATTTGCCAACCTAATCGACAAGTAAGCTAATTATAGAACAACCCATCAAGTATAAGCATGACCCATTAAACTAGTCACAATTGTAGCACACATCAATCTAGAGAATCATGGAATTTGCAATAATAAGCCATGGAATATCAAATCAAGTAAAGAATGTCTACCTACCTACAAGCATGAATTAAATTGTAGAACAACCCATCAAGCATAAGTATAATCCATCAAATTAATTGACAAACCCATCTAATAAAAACCATGTCTAGCCATCACTAGATTCTCAATCAACCACACATAGACATGCAATTAATATAGAAAAACTAGTGTAGAGATCAATTCCTAAATAATCACACATAAGACAACATGTAATCATATAGAGAATCAATAGAAAGAATTAATCCATAGAAATTAAAGGAGAACCCAAGATTCATTAAATTCACAAGGCTAGAACACTAATCACAAGATATTATTCCCCAAAAAGTATGAAAAAGATAGAGGTTTAGATTACAAACTTGGAACTCATCTAAGCCCCCAAGAGAAGTCTAGCCAATCATGGAGGAGGTGGGTGTGATCTTGGAACCCTCAAGGGCAATCCCCAAACATGGCTCTATTTTCTTCTTTGTTGAATTCTAGAGAGAGAGTATGTGTAGATCTAGAGATGTGTTCTTGGTGCCTCCACTCTTCTCTTTTCTTCTAACCCTAATCTCTAAATTTTCTAGAGAGAGAAAATAAAATTACAATGTAAAAATAAAATGATAAAAAGCTTCTTTACAAAATGGTTCAATTCCCTATAAATACAAGATCATTTTCTTAGTCACTAAGTCAGAAATACAGCCCCAAAAATATGTAATCCCACAACTATATGATAGGTGGAGTTCGGGCGCGCGGGAATAAGACAGCTCGCTGGCAGCACATTTTCGATCGATCCAAAATATCGTTGATCGATCAGAGTTCGATTGATCCAACTTTTCTTCGATCAATCAGAGTTGGTTCGATCGATCCAACTTTTTTCTGATCGATCTCAACTTTTCTCCGATCGATCTTACTTGGCAGCCTCCTTTTGCTCCAGATTCTCACTAAGACTTAATTTGACTCCAAAAAGGCCTTAAGAAGCTATTTTTAGCCCGTTTTAACTTTATTGACCTGAAAAGGGAAATAACACGAAATTAGACTAAAACGAAAAACTAAGATAGAATAAGGTCCTAGAACACTCAAGCTTAAAGGGTTTAAATGCGCATTTTTCAGCACTCATCAGGCACGTACATGGGTTAAGATGAAAAAGTTGATGAAAGCCCGATTTTATATTAGTCTTGCATGCAGGGAAGTAGAACAATTACTGAATATGTTAAAGAATTTTATCGGTTGTCATCCCGTAACAACCTAGTGGAACCCGAATTTAGTATGGTGGCCCGTTTTAAAGGCGGGTTACAATGGAATATTGAAGAGAAAGTGGCGCTACAACCGCTATTCAAACTGTCTGAGATTGTTACGGTGGCAGAGAGAGTAGAATCGTTACTAGAGAAGTCGAATAATCAGTCTCGTGGTTCATATAATACCCCACGTCCTACACATGACATTAGTAAACAGACCGTAGTAGCCTCTGTTCTAATGGCATGGCGAGGCATTAGAGATGGTCTAACAAAGGCCAAACCTGCAGCACCCATAGGCCCTACTGGAAAGGGAGCCCCAGCTGTGAGAGAAAATCCTTATGCACACCCAAGTATGAGTAAGTGTTTTCGATGTGGAGAACCTAGCCATAAATCCAATAATTGCCCCAAGCAACTGATAGTAAATCTGGTGGAGCATAAGGAAGGCGAGGGTGAGGAAGGTGATTTCCTTACCTTTAAAAAAGAAGAGGTGACTAAAGGAGATAATGACGAGTTATTGTCACACTCTTTAGTCGAATGAGGAGCACCTGTATCGTCATAATGTATTCCGTACACGTTGCACTGTCAACCATTAGGTATGTGACATTATTATTATAGCGGCAGTAGTGAGCATATTGTTTCCTTAATAATGGTTCAAAAATTTGGGCTTAAAATAGAGAAACATCTCCATCCATACAAAATTGGATGGTTCAAGAAAGGCTCAGAAACCCAAGTAACTGAAACCTGCACCGTTCCATTCTCAATTGGGAAAATATATGCAGAGAAGGTGTGTTATGATGTAGTCGATATGGATGCATGCCATATGATATTAAGCAAACCATGACAATTTGATGTCGATGCCACTCACTGTGGTAGAGACAATATGTATATTATATACAAGAATGGTCAGAAGATTGTTTTGGGTCCACTGACAGAATCCGAATTTCCTAAAGGAAATTCAGTTATGTTGATCAACGGTGAGGAAATTCTGGGCGAAGTAACAACTGCCCCTAAACTCTTTATTGTTATGTGCAAGGGGGAACTAATTGAATAACCTATTTTTACAGCCATTACTACAGGAGTTTAGTGAGTTGGTGCCGGAAGACTTTCCTAATAGTCTCTCTCCCATGAGGGACATTCAACACCACATGGACTTGGTGCCCGGGGCGAGCCTGCCAAATCTACCACATTACCGGATGAGTCCCAACGAGAGTCAGACCTTATAAAAGCAAGTGGAAGAGTTACTACAGAAATGATTGATTCAGGAGAGCATGAGCCCATGTGTTGTTCCGACCTTGCTAGTACCGAAGAAAGATGGTATTTGGAGAATGTGCGTTGATAGTCGCGTAATTAACAAATCACTATCAAGTACAGATTTCCCATTCCACGGTTGGATAATATGCTGGATATGTTGGTGGGATCGAAAGTCTTCACCAAAGTGGACCTCAAAAGTGGGTACCATCACCTCAGAATTTGCATTAGGGATGAGTGGAAAATGGCATTCAAGATAAAGGAATGAAGGTATGAGTGGTTAGTCATGCCATTCGAATTATCCAACGCGCCAAGTACTTTCATACGGTTGATGAATCAGGAACTCAAACCATTTATTGGTCGATTTGTAGTTGTTTATTTTGACGGTATTCTGGTTTATAGTCAAACAGAGGCAGAACACCTTTTTGTACTTGAGAGAGATATTAACAGCTTTGTAGAAGAATAAACTGTTCATTAATTTGAAGAAGTGTAGTTTTGTGACCCCAAGCCTAGTTTTCCTCGGCTATGTGGTTTGTAATGATGGCATTCGGGTAGATGAAGAGAAGGTGATGGCTATTTGAGAGCCGAAGAAATGGGAGAAGTACGCAGTTTCCATGGCTTAGCCACGTTCTACCGAAGGTTCATCAAGAACTTTAATAGTATTGTGGTTCCCATCATAGAATACATGAAGAAAGGAAAATTCCAATAGGGAAAGGAAG